TCATCAGCGCACACTTGAGGCCAGGATAATACCTTTTTTACATAGGCATTAGCTATTACTTCCGGATCACCAAATCTTGCTCTGAGTTCTTTCATAGCAGCAGGGTATCCTACATCAGCATCCAGGTGAGCGAATCCGGATGCTATCCTGTTGGCTTTACCACTGTTAAATTGCTCCAAATAATAGATGTTTTCAGCATTATTACAAATTCTTTCAATTCTCGATTTAAATTGCCTAACAAATTAAGTATAAGTCATCGGATCGCCTGCAAATATTTTCATAGCCAATCTAGGCTTCTGGAAGTTTAACAAAGCCGTAGTAGCACGTTGATCGACAGATGAAGCAGCAGGTGGATGATTACTGGGAACTGCATGTAATTCAGGTTGATCAATAAGCTGAGCATCAATTCCTTCTGGAAATGCATTTACTACATGAGGCCAAATATTTGAACTAACAAGCGGAGTAGCAGACACATTGTCAGGTACAACAACCGGTTGAGTAAGTTGCGGAACACTAGCGGAACATCCATATCCATATAGTGAACTGCTCGAGTTCAGATTCATAGCTGCTTAACACCGCAGGTGCTAACAAATGACGCAAGTCATCATTCACCTTCAAGAATGCAGAATACTCATTCAGCCAATCTTGATGCATACTACGTAGAGTGGACTTATTCAAAACATCATCGAGTCCCCTCTTCAGAACATCTGACACTTTTTCAAACATCTCCATGCATCCTTGGCTTCCTTCTCCAGTCGTTCCTGTTGATAAGCAGCACCCTTTTCAGTCAACTTTCTAGTCCGACCTTGTCTGGATTTCCTTGAAGTATCTGACATCTTAATACTGAGCTCCTTATGTAAATAAATGCACTAGCAATAAAGCTCTAAAATGCAAATTCGGTTCAGTCTTTTATTCCACCAAATTTCCACTATTTCCTCAATGGATGAACAAGTTCCGTAAATTTCCAATTTTCCGATTTACTGAAATCATTAACAAAATAATTAAAAACAATCAAAATTATTAACAACAGTATTCATATAAAAGCAACATACAGTTATAGCCTGTCATAAACACAGATTGGCAATCAACAATAAAGCCTAAGTAATTTCACCATCCTGATATATATGCATAAATAAATTTTGATATCCATTATAATACACATTAACTGACAACTAAATCTAGACAAAATTAAACAGCAAATAACAATAATATCAAACTAACTTACCATAAGGTTGAGCTTCCTTCATTTTACTAGCACATACCGGCCCTAATAATATCACTGCACTACCTACTGTAGGTGTGCTCAGCACTGTGTTAATGACTGAACTGAACAGCTAATGAAACAAAGAATGGCTAACAAAGAGAGCACCTGGGTACTATGGAAATTAGAGTAAGGGTAGAACAAAAACAAACTTATCAAGTTTGCAAGAAACTTTCAAAAATAAGGCAGAAACTAAATAATGGACATTACAGTAATGAAACTCACTTAAAGAGGTAAATTTAAGTGTTGGTATTTCAAAGGGATTAATTTTAATTAAACAATAGGAATGAAACAAAAGAAAGGATGTGCGGTGTCATTGATAAATGATTTTTAGGATGTGCGGTGTCGGTATTTCAAAGTGATTAATTTTAATTAAACAATAAAACGGATAGAACAATAAAAACAATAGAAAGGATGTGCGGTATCGTTGATAAAGGATGTGAGGTGTCATTGAATGTAATTATTGTTTGTATAGTAAAGTGATATAGGAACGTACGTCACGATAATAATGAATTCTTTTGGTTGTGTATTCAATCTTATTCATTTTAATTAAATAAAAATAAATAAAAAACATAGAAAATAAATAAAATGAATAAAATAAAACAAAATGAATAAGGAAGCGACACAACTAACGTCATACTTAATCCTTCTATACAATTTAGTGTATATATATTGGAGGGAAATTAAAGTTTAAGACATCAGTTGAAAAAAAAAACCCTTAAGTATGATGGATGTTGCAGAAACAGCTAGAAATTTGAGTCAATCGTTTATAGTATATTAATTAAATGGTAAAATAATTTGGAACTTCCCGATACTAATACGAGTTATTCGTTTAATTGAACAAATTGAGAAAGAATATTTATCTGATCTTGAGAAAATTAGTGGCATTAGTCCTAGTCAATTATTTAGTATATTTGACGAAATGTTTTCCGATGAGAAAATAAATTGGTCTCGAATATTGATTAGGCCTATTTATGTTATGGGAAGTTTAGTAGCTAAGGGAAAATGCGAGAATGATATTCGAACACTGAAAAGACGCATCGGTCAATACGAAATTTCACTACTTAACAATTTTGTGTGTGTGTGTGGGGGGGGGGTACGCGAGTAATCTTGGAGGGGCGTGCGTCCCCTCTCCCTGCGCACTACCCTAGATACGCCACTGCTGGGGCTTGCTTATTAGATAGGTTGTAACATGATTATTAGATAGGGTGCGTGGCACAATGATCTCATGACAGTTATGAAATATGGAAGTAATCAGCAAAAACATTTGTTACTTTTGCCAAAAAACCTATGAACAATAACAAAATCGAGTCCAATATAGTGGATTTGAGGCCCCTTTGTGGTAGCTACAACATGTTCCCTGATAATAAAGTAGTGGAGTAGTAAATAAAAACGTAAAAAGACAAGTAGATATGAACGTGGAAACAGAGTAGACTAGATAATTTGGAATAGATGAGTTTTTGAATATATTTTAAATGAATCCAAAGAGGGTGAAATTAAGTCGTTCAACAGAAATGAGGCACACAGGTTCGTTCGCCATGTGATTTTAATTTGAAAGTGGCGACAATGAGAGGACTCATTTGCTGAGCGGAGGCGGCGGTTGGGGATTTAGGTGTTTAGAATGTCAGAGAGATAAGAGGGTTGTTGGAATCGAAGAGCCTTAAAACACAGTAAAAGGATTTATAATTCCTTGCCGAATAGGTAGCCAGTGCAGGTATTTTTCAGGATGGGGTGATGTGGTGGCGCCTGGGAGTGAGAGTGCACACGTGAGCAAGCGTTGAAAATTATTGGCTTATGTAGCATATATAGAGCGAATATAAACGACATGCAGTATAAATTAACTTCGACTCATTTTATAATGTGTGGGAGACACTAACATCCGTTTAACATTGTTATTGAATCTAGTCTACTGGATATTCATAGTAGATTATAAATCTATAAAATAATGAAACAATGGGTTGAGGGGTAGTATTTTTGGCTGTATGTAGGCCTAGGCTTAATCACTAATATTAATAACTTTTGCCTTTTTTCAGAAGATGTTGGTCACTCAGTCTCAGCAGGTCTCTCAGTAAAGTGATGTTTGTTTGAAGCCTTATTGTGGCAGTTGCAGAAACAGAAAATTGCCTGACATTCAAAGGTGAATAAAATGTTTTGTTTAAATTTTAAGTTTAGGGGCCTACTGTACTGTAGGTTGTAATTATGAATCGTACTCCAAATAGACACACTGTACTGTACTTACTACCATGATGGAGGTTATAACTAATAAAATATAATGTGTATGTAATAGGCCTATAATAGATATCACTGTAACACCGTAATGTACTGTCTGCACAACATTTAATTTGAAGCTGTTTTGAAAACTAAACAAAAAATAAGAAACAGGATTGGAACTGATAATTCACTTTTGATAAAATAAAAAACTGCTAGTCTATTATCTTAGCTACAGTACATTATGCATATCGTACTCTTATTTTAATATCTTTGATTTTGAAGGGAAATAATAGATTTTAAATTTGAGTAGGAATGTTTTATGTGCTGTACATTTACTAATTCATTCTTTGCCTTTGACTTCATTAAGACAATTTAAAAAAAAATAGCATTTTGCATATTTTAATTGACAGAAAACAATTTTCCCCTGCCCTTGATTTTTTTTTGGACCTGTATATCATGAGTTTTCAATCACCTTTTTTCGAAATGCCAAGGACTATGAAATGCATTTTTGAAATGCCAAAATGCATATTTCGCTCAGCTCAGTTTTAAAGAATTCGTTTTTTTTTTTATCTTTCAGCAATTGTGGAACTCCGAAAAAATTTAATGCCAACAAGCGACCAGCTAAAGACCATTTAGAACTTGGACCAGTTATGAATAACACAATACAGTACCCAACAAATTTTAGTGGCCCACTTACATTTCAATTCCTATTCAGCCCTGAAATAAATCAGATATAGCCCAGCATGGGCCCGTAAATTGTTTTGGACAAAACCCACATGGGTCCCAAATAAAACCATAATGTAAACATAAGGGGCCCAATTATATCCTTTAACGGGCCCATAGACTTTATGGGACCCTTATGGATTTTGGGTGCACAAGCAGCTCATTCCCGTATGGGCCAATTTATAGTGGCCCCAACCTAAGGGGCCCAAATATATTCGTTAAAGGGCCCATAAATTAATTTGGGACAACTTTATGGGGCCCATATGGATTTAGGGTGCACAGGCAGCTCTTTCCCATATGGGCCAATTTATAGGGTCCCCTTACATTTCAACCCCGATTCAACCCCTTAAAAACCCAGATAGAGACCACAATGGGCTCATGAATTAACTTGGACAAACCCATATGGGTCCCAAATGAACCCATAATTCAAACCTTAAGGGACCCAAATACATTCTTTAAAGGGCCCACATTTGCATTTGGGCCAAACATTAAGGGACCCTTAAGGATTTAGGGTGCACAGGCAGCTCATTCCCGTATAGGCCAAACTTTAGGGGGCCCACATTTTGGCCCATGCGTTTCCCATATGGGGCCCATGTTTCCTTGCTACCTGGGGATGCATATACATTTTTTTTTGATCAATATTTTATGTAAAATAGGTAATTTGTGAAAACGTTTAGTGGTGTAAAATGATTAATATTAATTATTTATAGCACAGCTAATACATTCTTGGAATGGAATCAATTGTCATGAAACTGACAATCGGTATGTTTTCATAATCTGTAGTCAATACTCGTCATGTTAGCAATCACGATGTGTACTCAATTATTAATTTTGTAATTAATATAATGTGCTTGTGATCGATAACGCGAGTGGTGTATTACCGTTAATACGTGAATTTAGAGAGTGGTTTGCAATCGATTGATATATAAAAACAAATCCTACACTGGTTAATCAGACACATACAATAATTAATGTTCAAGAACAGATTATTAGAGATATTAGAATATTGTCACTTACAGCTCTTCAAGACTTTTCAAACCATTGAATACACCATGTTTCAGATCAGTTACTTTGTTACCACTCAATTTCCTTCAAAACAAACGAACAAAAAAAAGTCTAAACAGTATGATTAAGAAGAAAAAAAAGTAAGCCATTAGAACACAAGAGCAGGCTGTAGCCTACAATTTGTTTATACTTTGAATCCTGTTACCCTAGATTTTGTTCTCAATAATGAGAATTAGCCTTATAAATTCCGTCCGTTATTCATCAAAAATGACTTGGTCTATGTACATATTGTACATTATAAAATAGATTGGCATTATAATGGCACAATGTAGAGTGATTTACTATATTACAATAAAGATACATTAGTAGTAGAGTAGTAAATAAAACGTTAAAAAAAAACAATTTGTACGTGGAAACAGATTAGACTAGATAGTTTGAAATAGATGAGTTTTTTAAATTTATTTAAAATGAATCCAAAAAGGGTGAGATTTTGATAGACAATATTAAGTCGTTCCACAGAAAAGAGGCACAAAGATTCGTTAACCATGTGATTTTAGAATGTCAGAGAGATAAGAGGGTTGTTGGAATCGAAGAGCCTTAAAACACAATAAAAGGATTTATAATACGATGCCGAGTAGGTAGCCAGTTTTTTTTTTTTTCAGGATTGGGGTGATGTGGTTGCGCCTGGGGGTGAGGGTGCACACGTGAGCAAGCGTTGGCAATGTTATTGGCTTATGCAGCATATAGAGCGTATTAGAATATAAACGACATGCAGTATTAATAAGCATTTTATCAACTCATTTTAAAATGGGTGGGAGACACCAACATCCGTTTAACATTTTTATTGCATCTAGTCTACTGCATATTCATGTGGTAGATTATAAATCAATGTATTTTATTCTCTGTTACAAATCATATGACATTTACATTAACATTGTTGTTTTCATCAGCAACGTTGAAGTAAACTTGAACCATTATCATCATCATCATCATATTATTATTATTATTATTATTATCATCATTAGTTTATAAGTAAAAAGTAATTTAAAATCATCAAGCTTGGTCGAGATCGTAACTGTTTCTGAGAAAAAAATGTTGTTAATAACTCACAAAATAAGCCTTGCAAGCGTGGCTAAGGTTGAAACTAAGTCAGGCTACACAAAAATGATTACAAGGTTGAAAATTGTTAATCTTATTAATATAAGGGATAGGCCTACTATGTTTACATAGAAGTAATATTACATTTTCAATTGATATAAAATTCAAAGCAATAATTATTGGTTTAAGAAATTGGTTTATATGTTTTTTTTTTGTACTTAATAATATAAAATGAATTATTCTTGTAAATGTTTTGTTAATATTATATTAATTAATTAATTAATTATTGTACATATAATGTAAAAGAAGAATTTAGAGCCGCTCCGAATCTCTTTGCTATTCTTCTTTCTCTCTGTATACAGTATTCTTCTTTCTCCCCGTATACAATGGTATTGATTTTTTATATACACAAAATTGTAAAGTTTTATAGACAAAATGCATTTTAATAAAATTCTGATCATTGAAATAATTAGCTCATTAGTATACAAGAAATCTATAATTTGTGGGTACGATAGGCCTATATGCTATCAGGGAACAGTAATTTCACTGCTCCCTGATGCTGTTTAATATAGGAAGACATCTCAGGGAACAGTTAACTGGGCATGTACAGTATATAATAATATATTTTTATATGTATGTACTAAGCTAATGAACTATGAATTTTATTTAAATTTTGACCTAACCTTATTATTTATTAGCCAAACATTGTTCATAAATTTTTAATAAAATATGTTATATGATGACCTATATAATATTCATATGATTTACTATGAATAAATTTGTTTAAACAAAAGTTAATAAACTGGCTTCATGAATAAAATTGCATTTTATTCAAATTTCTGAATGCTCTTTATATTTCATATATTATTATTATTATTATTATTATTATTATTATTATTAATATTATTATTACTATTATTATTATTATTATTATTATTATTATTATTATTATTATTATAAAGAAACTAGCATATACCTTTGTCATTATTTTTTTTTTCTAAAAAAAACCTCTTTGTAGATAAAATTTTGCGTGAGTGTCTGTGCCGAATATTACGTTTTAGGAATTGTCCATTTAGATAATACATCAGAGTACAGTCCTCTTGCATGTGAAAGTACAACATACAGTAATAACGTGTTAACTACGACGTGTTCTTTGTTTGAATGTGGTGTTGTGGTATTGTCTATGAATATGGCTGTGAATGTGTGCATGTGGGGCTTGCAGCATGCATATTAAATCGGGTGCGTGGCACAATGACGTCATGACAGTTATGGGACAAAAAAAAACCACATGTACAATAAAAAAATGTAGTGGTGGTACCCCTTGGTGGTAGCTACAACATGTTTGAAAATCATTGTTGTACTTCAAACACTTTCGGATATATTTGGTGGACAGAGAAAACACAAAACGTTATTTTAGTAGTGTAGATGTATTATCAATATTATTATTATTATTACTATTATTATTATTATTATTATTATTATTATTATTATTATTATTATTATCATCATTATAATCATTATTTTTTTTATCTTATTATTATTATTATTATTATTATTATTACTATTATTATTATTATTATGCAGTATTATAAAAAAAGCTGCATATATGTAAATTCCAGTTACAGGTTCTTTTAGGCATGACCCAAGGATGAGGTGATTTAGTGTTGGTGACTATCCGGATTAGGGTGTGGATGTGAGGAACATTGAAAGGATTTCGTCCAAGGCAAGATATCCCAAAAACTAATCAACGGACATGAATGAAACCTTCCAGGGGTGGCGCCAGCAGGGGGGGGGGCGTCTGGGGGCCGTCTG